GAATAAAGGGATGGTTTAATATAAACAAAACCATAAATGTAACATACCACATCAACAGAGCTAAAGATAAAATCAATCTCGATAGATTCATGATAAAATCTCTACAGAAAATCAGAATAGACGGTTTTTGTCACAACCTAATAAAATCTATCTATGACGAACCAACAGTGAACCTCATACTTAATGAACAAAAATTGAAAGCCTTCACTTTAAAATCAGGAACGAGACAAGGATGACAACTGACACCTCACCTGTTCAGTATCCTTTGGGAAACATTAGCCAGAACAATTAGACAAGAGAAAGAAATGAAAAGAATAATGATTGCAAAGGAAGAAGTGAAATTATCATTATTTGAAGATGACATGTTACTGTAAATAGAAAATCTGAAAAGTCCACTAAGAGACAGTTGGGTTTTATAAGCCCATTGAGTAGTATATCAGGCTGTAAAGTCAACACTTAAAAATAAATAGAATTTCTATATACAATCAAGTAATGCATCAAAAGAGAAATTATGGAAACCATAACTTTCAAACTGACACCCCCAAAAATGAAAAATTTAGTAATCAATCTCAAAAGGAAATAAAAGATTTATACAGTGAAAATTTTAATAATCTGAAAAAAAAAGAATTCAAAGAGGATTTTTAAAAAATCAAAAGATATTCTTTGCTCCTGGATAGGAAGAATCAACATTGCGAAAATGTCCATACTCTGAAAATCATTATACAGATTCAAAATAATTCCAAATAAAATACCATCAGTATACATCACATATATAGGAAAAAAAATTCCTAAAGTATATCTGGAACCAGAAGAGAACTAGAATAGCAAAAACCATCCTGGGCAACAAAGGAAAGGCAGGAGGCATCACAATCCCTGACTTCAAATTATACTACAAAGGTACTGTGATAAAATCAGCATTGTACTGGCGTAAAAACAGACCTGAGCATCAATGGAACAGATTAGAAGATGTAGATATAACCACAAGCACACTCAGCCACCTTATCTTTTAAAAATGGACCAAACATATTCAATGGAAGAGAACCTATTTAGTAAATGATGCTGAAAATACTGTCTTTCCATATGTCAAAAGCTTAAAATAAACCCATGCCTATCACTATGCACAAAACTACAGTCAAAATGGATCAAAGATTTAAATATTAAAATTGAAACAGAAAATCTTCTGGAAGGCAAAGTAGGTAGAAACATTAAGGGCATAGGGGTAGGTAAAGAGTACATAAACAAAAACAAAACTGCACAGGAAATACTTCAAAGAATCAACAATTGGGATCTCATCTTTTTGAAAAGTTTCTGTACTTAAAAGAAATCACCAACAGAGTAAAAGGAAAACCCACAAAGTGGGAAACAATTGTAGTAGACTGTCCTTCAGACAAAGGACTCCTATATAAAGAATTTTTTAAAAATCAGGCCTCCAAAATTCAAATAACCAGTTCAAAAATGGGCATCTGAGGCGAATATATGCTTCACAAATGAAGAAATACAAGTGACAAATAAATATATGAAAAAATATTCAACATCATTGGTCATTCATGACATTCAAATTAAAATAATGGTGAGATGCCATCTATTCCAGAAAGAATGGCCATCACCAAGAAGTCAACCAATAACAAATGCTATAAAGGCTGTGGGGAAAAAGAAACACTTCTCCACTGTTTGTTCTGAACAGCAAAAGAAATAACCAACAGAGTGACAAGAAAACAAAAAGGATGGAGAAAAAATTGTCAGCTATTCCTCAGACAGTGGACTAAGAGCTAGATTGTATAAATTATTAAAACAAATTAGATCCCAGAAAATACAAGAATCAGTCAAAAAATGGGCACATGAAATGAAGTGATATTTCTCAGATAAAAAGATACAAATGGCCAACAAATACATCAAAAAAAATTGGACATGGCAGCCCATCAGAGGAATATGAATTAAATACCCAGGATTTGGTCTTACACCAGAAAGGACACCATCGAGAAATCAAATAATATCAAGTGCTTGTGAGGCTGTAGGGTACAAAGAAACCCTTATACATTGTCTTTTTTTTTTTTTTTTTTTCCAGAACCGGGAATTGAACTCAGGCCCTTATGCTTGCCAGAGAAGTGTTTATTCCACTGAGCCATCTCCCCAGCTCTCCTTTTACATTGTTGGTGGGAATGTAAACTAGTACAACCTCTATGGAAATCAGTATGGAGATTCTTCAAAAAACTAAAAATGGCAATTCCGTTTGACTTAGCTATTTCTATTTGAGGTGTCTTCTCTAAAGAGTTAAAGTCATTGTATTTCAGGAATCCATGCATATTCATGTTTATAGAAGCACAGTCATAAAACTATATCTTGTTAATGGTTTACATGTCCAATCAGCAGGTGAATAGATCAAGAAAATCTGGTGTCTACACACAGTGGAATACTACTCTGCTGTAAAGATAAAAGAGTCATTTTTTGGAAAATGGATGCATTTTGAGACTCTAATGTTGAGATGAATGAGACACACAAGTTTAAATACAGTGTGGTTTCTTTTATATGAGAAACACAAATTATAAAGAAAGAACAAAATAAATGATAAGGTAGGGGTGAAAAAGGCATGAAAATGTATTATGTGCATGTGACAGCTTCATGCAAGGAATGTAAGCACTATATACTAAGAAAGAATTGGCAAACTAGGTAAAAACACTCAGGTAAGGCTCAGAATGAAACTACTTCTGATTTGTGGACCAGAATGTTAGCTGTCTCTCTGATCATAAATGGTGATAACAACTGACTTGAAAACTAATCATGGCCCCATGATAGAGTGAAAAGAGTGTAAGCAAAAGTAGGACTTTTCAGGAGAATAATTTAAAGATGTATTGAACTACTTCAAATAATTTGGAGATATCAGTTATTTCTACACTAATCTCTAGAGTAGATGCAAATTAAATTAAAACCACAGTATGAAGACTATCTTTGTTCATGTGTTTCTCAGTATACAAAAGGATCAATAAAGCCAATTTATACCTAAACAAGAATGTAGTAATCTTTAGTGTTCTCTGATGAATGGTGGTATCTCTTATTCCAGGCATCTAGGAATGTGACCTTAGTTTTCAAAAGTATTTGGAGATATAATTATATTAAGGAAAATTATTATAGATTATCTTGGAAGGCTTTGAACCCAACAATAAAGGCCCTTATCAGAGTGGAAAAGCAGAGAAAGAGTTGTGCAAAGATGGTGACCATATATCAGAGCCTCTTTTCTATGCAGCATTAAGTCGAGAAATGTTGGAATGGCCTCAAGGTAGAATATGTCAGGAAGGATCCTTTTCTAGTGCCTTTCATTTCATATTTCTGGTCTCTAGAGCTGTTAGAAAATAAATTTTTGCTGTTTGTGATGCCTACTTTGTGGTAAGTTCTGTGGAAGCTGTAATAAACTAATGTAACAGGTTCCAACACTTATTTGTTGAGTAATAGTGGCTAACTTTTGTGGATGATATTGAGACATGAAAAATTAAAAATTGGTCAATAGCAGAAAAAGAGACAACAACCTCTCCACTCATATAAGGAGACAACATGTTGGATCCACTAGGAATGACTGACTATCCAACTGTAGTGATTAAAACATTGCTTACTATATAGGGGAAAACAGGTAAGGTTGTTCCTTAGCTATAAAATGTGCAGATAGATGTTTACCAATCATAAAATGAGTTAAGAAAGTAATGTGTCCGTATTATAGTAATCTACACAGAGGTAAAAGTAAGGAGACGGGGCAGCCATCTAAGGACACACACACACACACACCTCTACACTTATATACTTACATGTATATTCACACTTCAGCCTCACTATGCCATTGTACTTGACATACACATGTCCCCTTGGCTTAATTTCTAAGGCTAAGCTGCCTTTCTATGAGGCTTCACTTCACACAATTATCGAGCACAAAAAGACAGAAGTGAATCAAATGACCAGAAACAATGTAGGCCAAGATCCCCAGATTAGGATCAAAGACAGTCAGAGAACCAATCAGGTGGTGCCCATGTGGGGAATGAGAAAAATCGCTAGTCTCAAAAAGAGTCAGGGACAAGGGCTTGTGGGTGATCACCTTTCCAATGCCCCTCACTCCTCCAGACCAACTGTCTGTCTTCTTTTTTATTCTGTCCTTTTCCAAACAAACCATATTCTTTATTTTAAATGCTACCTCTTTAGTTCATTACTAGAGTTGAGACTGTATGATCCTGGGTAGCTGAGTGCTTCACCAGGGCAGTGGCATGGCATGACATGGTAGTCATCCCTCCAACAGTTGTGACAATGTCTTATGATCCATTTGCACAAAAGTGTAAGATAAGAAGCAAACTCATGCAGCATACTCCATAGAGAACAATATAGGTGAGAAAACTACAATAGGTGATTAAATGAAATTCAAAAAGTTTCTAATCTCTGAGAAAGACAAAGGAAAGAACACATCTTAAATTAGGTGGTGGGTCCTTGGTTGCTCACATTTTAGTTAATCTTAAAAATGAACAAAAGAAAATATTAAATACCAAGTGACATCGATGTGAAGCTTCAAAACCTAAAAGGAGAAGAATTAAAGATTTGGGAGATAAACTTGGTCACTTAGAAAGAAATAATTTCTCATCAGCCACATTTAGTAAGGTAATAAAAACCAAGTCTTAATTTTTTTTAAATTTTTTTCAAGTCTTAAATTTTTGAGGAAAAATTATACTCAAATTAAAATTTTTCCTTCCAAAGTATCAATTGAGTGAAACACAGGATAAGGTAATTTTGAACATGAAATATTTCAGGAAATTTACCTCCCATATATATTTACTTGGTTACTTGAGAATATACCCCAACATGCATATCAAGAAAAATATAGGTTTCATGAAACAGTGGATCCCACACATGGGCCTACTTTTGAGAAGTGGACCTAGAACCAGTGGTGGACACTACTGCCTAAAATCCCCACATTCAAAACATTGCAGATAAGTACACTCAGAAACATTTGCATTTTCTATTAAGCTTACCATTTTTTCAATCTGATGGCTTCTTTCTGTAAAATCTCTTGAAGATTTCATTCCATAATTTTCTCTGTATTTGATGTTTGTGACTTTAAAAGAGGCAAGATAATAGAATGATCTATCATCTGAAAGGTAAAATAAATAAAAGATCCATAATCAAATGTAATATGTTATTTGTCCCCAAGTGTTCTGGATAGGGTACATACTATAGTAATACAATATATTTCCATTTAGTAAAAAAAAAAAAAAAAAAACCTACTGTAGACACTTTAAAAATATGTTTTAACTTCATCACTGCAGTCAATCAAAGGAAGAAAAAACTTGGATGAGGAAAAAAGAATGGGGTGGTGGAGCAAAGAGATATATGTATTTATATATGTGGGCTATCTTGGATAGCTGTACTGCTGATTTGTGCTGCTCTTCAGAGGGGAACAACTATACTTACTAGGGAATACTTACTAAGTATGACATATGCAAATGTATATGAGAATTTTTTCATGGAATTAAACAACCAGTTTACAAATGAAGTAAGTATGAAAAGTGATTGGCGACCATCATGTAAAAAAGGATCTATTTACTAAAACAACTACTAACATGGGTGTATCATATATACATTGTAATATGATGCTATATTCAAAAGTCTTTCAAGTTTTTTCTATATTTCTACTAGGCTTATTTTTTAATATCTAAAGGCAATACAAAACAGTAAAAAAGTAAAACATTAGAAATGATGCACAATTTCACCAAGCAAAACAATAGGAAATCAATTTGTTTTTTTGTTTTGTTTTTTGGTGGAACCGAGGATTGAAGTCAGGCCCTTGAGCTTGCCAGGGAAGCACTTTTTCTACTGAGCCGGCTCCTCAGCCCAATAATTGTTGTATTGCACAATGTTGTCTTCAAATCAGTTGTTCAGATTATCAGCTATAAGCATGAAAAGTTGTTTTTAAAAAAGAGGAAAAAAGTCATAAGAAATTAAAAAGGAGAAGGAAAAAAATTAAGCATCAACTACTCCCCTCTGAAGAGCAGCAGAAATCAGCAGTACAACTATCCAACTCATTCTGCATACATACATAAATATATCTCCTTGACCCTCTCTGTCCTTTTCCACATCTCAGTTTTTTCTTCCTTTTGTTCCATTTCACAGTGTTGATTGTACCTTTCAGATTTTAAAGTTTAAAAATATTAAAGAGAATACAAAATAATGATAATAAAAAGAACATTAGAAATGATAATTACACTAAGCAAACTAAAATGAATTGACTGTTTGCTGAATTACATAGTGCTCTCTTCAAACTGTTGTTTATATTACTAGTTATATGTATGAAAAATTTGGGGAAGTTATAAGAAATTTAAAAGAAGAGAAAAAAAATTAAGCGTTAACTGTTCCTGGTTTTGTTCATGAACTCTACACCTACCCTTAAGTCTTTAAGATTTCTACCTATGTTTTCTTCCAAAAGATTTACTGTTTATATTCTAATATTTACATTTTGACCCATTTGACTATAATTTAGTGCATGGTGGTGGACATGGGTCTAATATTAGCCTTCAGCATGTGAAAAGCCAGTTATAGCAGCACCGCTTATTGAAGAGGCTACTTTTCCTCTAGTGAACATGTTTGAATCCTTTATCAAAGACAAGGTATCTGAAAGTGTTTGCGGTTGTGTCTGCATCTTCTAACCTGTTCCATTGACCTTCACATCTGTTTTGCACTTTTTTTTTTGCCAATACTATGCTGATTTTATCACAGTATAATTTCAGGTCAGGGATTGTGATTCTTCCTGCCTTTTCTTTGGTGCCCATGATTGCTTTTGCTGTTCTAGGTCTCTTCAGGTTCAAGATGAATTTAATCAAGGTTTTCCCTAGATCTGTGAAGTCTACTAACATTATTTTAATTGGAATTGCATTTAATCTATATAAAAATTTTGGGAATATGGCCATTTCCACGATGTTGGTTCTTCCTATGAAGAAGCACAGAATATCTTTCCATTTTGATTTCCAAGCATCTAAATTTTTTGGATAGTATTGCAAAAGGCATGGTTTCTCTAATTTCTCTCTTGGTGCCTTCATTGTGTACATAAATGCTATGTATGTTTGAGTGTTGACTTTGTTGCTGGTTTGGTTATTAAATCTGTAAGTCTCTTGGTGGAGTTTTGGGGGTCTTCTATGTAG